GCTAATACGTAAAAAAAAAAAATTTACCCATGAATTTTTTTTTAAATTTTTTTTTTTTTAAACTAAAAAAATTTTTTTTTGGGGGGGGCGGGGACGGGGGCTACAGCCCCCCTCCCCCCCTAAATCCGTCCCTGATTTCAAGTAATAAGAACGTCAAACGTTGAATATAATTAAACTTATCCTTATTCGAATTCTCATACGATATACAAAACGTACACGTAAACCATAATAAATGCGAACCAATAAGGTTGCTATATATCACATTCAAATATTAAATATAAATAGACGTTGTAGCAAAATCAACCGCAGCTCAAAGATTGTGTAGCCAAGATATTCCAATTCGCGTTCCATGTGAAACCACCTCTAACTCGGCATCTATGTCAAGTGGGAACTATACCCATTATGGTCAAAATTGGACTACCACCTAGTATTTACTTTTATAATGTTACTTTTGCAATTGGTTGAACCTAGATATTAATCACAATTATTGAATGATACATTTTTTAGAAATACAATACGCCAATGTTTTGGTGAAATTTAAAAAATTGATAAAAATTTAAGTTAAAATTAATAATTAATTTTAATTATATATTCCGTGGAATCTATAACTTTTATCAATTTTCAGCTATTATTTCATAAGTATTTATCAAAATCTACTAAAAAAAATAATCTAATTTTTAACAAAATCAATTAGAGTATAAATGCATTTTTGTTTTCATAGATAACTACGACGTGCAATTTTTATAATAAATCGAAAAAGAAATGCCATAATTGAAATTTGAAAGAAGAAAATTCATGCACTTCATTGTCATGAAAATAAGAACGTGGGCGCTTATATTTCAATAATTTGCATGAAAATTATGGAGAATAAGAATACAAATGGCTTATATCTTGTTTCCTTTTCCTTGATGTTAAGTGGATGGTGGGATATATTTACTTATTCTCAAATATGTAGAGCATTTCCAAAAATCTCTTTATTTTTAAAGAGCATTTTTACTTCTTGTCACACCTCAACGAGTTCACTATTTTTTTTTCTCTTTATTTTACCTTTTTCAACAATCATTTATCATTTTTCCTCATTTTTAATTAATACATATATGATAGATTTTAATTGTTAAATTATTTGAATATAATTTAAAAAGTTGAGCATTTAAAATCGTAATTTATTAAATACAATCATTATAAATTACAAATAGCGTGAATTTTGATATCTATATTAGAGATCAAAATAAATTAGAGAGTATATTAAAACCTAATTTATAAAATTAGCTTTTTAAAATAGACAATATTTTACATGGGATTCTCTAATATTTGCCATTACTATTGCAAAATCTCATAACTGGCTCATATAATAGTTAAGAGCCCGTTTGGTAAAGATTAAAATCCAATTAAAATTGAAAATATAGTCGTAATTGTCTTATAAAAGTCAACAATAACAGCTAATTTTTTAATTTTAATCCGATTTTAAATAAACAAAAATAAATAACAACCAAAATTCCCACTAATTATTTTATGCTGCAGCAGCAAAAATTGACTTTTTTCCATGGACTCCCTCCATAGTCTTGCATGATCATTAATATCTCAGAAGTCAAAGAAAATACGCTTCGGACAACTAAATTCAAGGTTGATTAGATATGAATTCATAATGTAACTGCAGGCCTGCAGCCAACTTTTTCTGGTATGGAAAATTTTGTTCGATTCATTTCGTGGAAGTTAAATGTTGGAAATCTATTATATTATTGACTTTTTGTGGAAGGCCTTTATTTTTTAATTATATTAATTACCATTTACATTATTTTAAATTTTTCGTAAGCTGTAGTGCAAAAATGCATGAACTTTGCCTTGACCGTTTCAGTCATCCGTGTGGGGCTTCTCACTCAATTGGTGTAAGCTTTGACTAACCTAACACACTTTGATCAATTGTTTCTTGCTCATACAAAAAATCCACCAAAAGAGTGGTTGTTACCAAACACGTAGAATTTCGACTCGACTCGATCTAATAGTTACTTATTTATGGCGTGAAAGAGAAAATGAAATTATTTTTTAAATTGATTTTCATATTTTGTAGAATTTTGACTCGACCTAATAGTTTACTTATTTATGGCATGAAAGAGAATTAAGTCACTGTTTGGTAGAGATTAAAATCAATTTTTTAGTAAATTTTGATAAAAGTTAATAAGATGTGTGATTGAAAAGTTGCACGTCTTATAAAATGTGTAGCATGGTACGTGGGCTCCTCACTCACTTGGTGTAAGCTTTGACTAACCTAACAAGTAACAACTTTGATCAATTGTTTCTTTCTCATACTGATCTCCATTCACCAATAGAGTGGATTGTTACCAAATATGTGTTGGTAGAATTTCGACTCGATCTAATATTTTACTTATTTATGGCATCAAAGAGAAAATGAAATTATTTCTTAAGTTGGTTTTCATATTTTGAAGAATTTCGACTCGACCTAATAGTTTACTTATTTATGGCGCGAAAGAGAATTAAGTCCTTATATGGTTGACATTAAAATCATATTTTTAGTAAATTTTGATAAAAGTTAATAAGATGTGTGATTGAAAAATTGAGTGTCTCATAAAATGTGCAATTAAAATTAAATGCTGACTTTGATTTAAAATTTTAATTGATTTTTAATCTAAACCAAACGGGGGCTAAATTATTTCTTAAGTTAGATTTTTCTTGTACTCAACCTCAACCTATAGCCCTTGTTTGCCCCCCATTANCATTATATCACATTCCATTACATTAATTTTTTCTCTCTCTTCATCTCTACCATCCATTCATCAAATAAAATAATAATACACACAAATCAAAAACTTTTCAACCACACATCTTCCATCAATCGCTATTCTAAAAATTATCTACCCCAAATAATTTAAATTAATGGGGGGCAAACAGGGGCATAGTAAATATAAATTGAATGAAACCAATATAGATCTACTTGTGTATTATTTGTCAAGTTGTGTGTTAAATGTTTAACGTGGCATGATATTTTTGAAATTAGTTATTAAAATTTAAAAATCGTATTCAATCAAGTCATACACTTAATCTAAAGTCAAAATACTTTTCAAAAATAAATATTATTTACGTGTGAAAGCATTACTACTCTGTAAATAATTCAAAAAGGATGTGATTGCCAAAAGAAAATTTCACAGTAATGGGCCATGCCACCTTTCACACATTTAAACACGCTTTTCGTCCAAGTCCATTGAAGCAAGTACATTGCCTATATAAATGTGCCACAATAAGTTGATGAAACCATACGAAATCCTAGAGAGAGAGAGAGAGAGAGAGAGAGAGAGCGAGAGCGAGAGCGAGCAGCGAAATCTTGAAGTAAAGATGGTGGTGATTGATCAGTATATGATTGGTGGTTTCATTGCTTCTTTGTTGGTTCTATATTGGGTTATATTGGGCTATGTCTTTTCGAACAATTTGAGGAGAAACATAAAGAACAAAAGTTCGCAGGTTGTACGTAAGGATGCCTGCATTAACACCTCCACCAACGGTCGGTGCCAGCCTGAGGTTGATGGAAGTACCGACATCATTATTGTCGGTGCCGGTGTTGCTGGTGCCGCTCTGGCTTACACTCTTGGAAAGGTAATATTGGGATATATTATATACTTTTAGCCCATTATGTATGCTTGATTATGCGATTGCATCTTCTAATTACCCATGTTTTGTAAAGATTCTTTAAAAAATAGTTTTTATCAAACTCTTTTTCAATTACACGTTCTCCCAATATAATAATTTTGTACGTAAATCCATAACGTTTCTTTGCTTATAACCACGCATTCTTAATTTTTTTTCTCTTTTCACGAAATCTATTCTAAAAAAATATACATTAAACAAGCTCTTCGTATACAAGGAGTATTTTAATTTTCTATAACTAGGGTTTTCTTTTTTATATGTGTATATAAACATATCCATGCCCAATGGTAGAACACACCAAGCCCCGTTTGGTACAGATTAAAACCAGTTTTTAAGAGATTTTAATAAAAGTTGAAGGAATGTGTGGTTGAAAAGTTTTGATCTTGTCAAATGTGTGGTTAAAATTAATTGTTGACTTTAACTTGAATTTTAATTAGATTTTTTTGAGTTACCAAGTTACATATTATATACAGCGAAATTGTTCTCCCTACCGTGGGCAGGATAAGACTGCCTACTTATTGATAATAGAAGAATTTTACTTACTGTTCTCTCGAGATGTGAGAAATGTAAGTACGGTTCTATCTAAGTGGGAAGATAAGACTTTTCATTATGGGCAGACGATCATTTCTATATAAACAGCAGGGAGAAAATTCATTTTCGGGTTAAAAATGTCTACTACCATTTAACTTTAAGGGTGCGTTTGATTGTAAGGGTGGAAAATGGGTGGAAAGAAAATGTTTTACAGAGAAAATGTTTGCCTAGAAAATGTTTGGCAGGGAAAATGATTTCAAGTGTGTTTGATTGGTATAATTTTCCACCTGGAAAATTTTTAAATTTTTTATTCGTTTGGCTTTGTTTTACATGGAAATTGTCCATTAAAGTGATATTTTTTTCTACAATTAGTTATAAAATTTGTTTCCATTGCCAAAAAGTAAAAAAAAAAAGGAAAAAAAATTGTTTCCTAAAAAATCATTTTTTTCATCAAA